CCATCGAAAGTTGATAGGGCAGAAATTTAAATGATGCATCGCCGACACCAGGGCCGTGCGATCCGTCGAGTTATCATGAATGATCTTAGCAACGGGTAAATCCCGCATCGGCCTTTTATCCAATAAATGCATCCCTTTCGTGAGTCAGGGTTTGTTGCACGTATTAGCTCTAGAATTACTACGGTTATCTGAGTATTAGGTACCATCAAACAAACTATAACTGATTTAATGAGCCATTCGCAGTTTCACAGTCTGAATTAGTTCATACTTACACATGCATGGCTTAATCTTTGAGACAAGCATATGACTACTGGTAGGATCAACCAGGTAGCGAACCTTCATGACGCCGTGCGCTACCCGTGCACTAGCCTATCGGGAACGATGCAGGCGCGACGGTCCTCTAGGAGGTCAAGCCTTCTTCGGGGACAAGCAAGGGCACCTGCCCCGCATTTGCGCAGAGCACCGCATCCTAGAGCATAGCATATGACCTCGAGGGCCCGATCGAGACCGTCGACAGCTCGAGGGAGCACGAGGAATGCTATCTAGTCCTCCGACGCCCCTTCGGGGGTAACAAATGGAGAACCTTCTCAAAGCCATCGCCTTTCATAGTGGCAGTAAGCAACACAAGAACCACCCCCAAATCAAAACTAAGGCCAACGCTTCGAAGGGACGAGACATGAGGACGATTACGTGTTTGGCAGTTCGATGCTCAAGCATGAAGCCATCCGATACAGACAATCTAAGCACCACTCACACACCCGCACGTTCAAGCAGACCGACGCCCCCGCGCCAACCACTCCCTGCGAGCTCGGAGGGCGAGGCAAGCAAATGGAAGGGACGAGAGGCACCGGCACTGCACCGCTAGGCATGAGCAACACGTCGAGCTGGGACATTTGAGGAAACTGTCAAATCTGAGGCAACGAGATCACCCACCATGATAGAAAACACCAGCCCCTCGTGCACCCCCGGACACCACCGCGTGCGGCAGTCCGCCCCCACGCAGGCTTATCAAGCAACACGAGGGGTGGGCCCTATGCGACATATCATAGTCGGGAGGATGTACTACCTGATTTCTCGCCAGCATGTGAGTGGATTATCTGAGCTCGATGGGGAATGGGGCTGCCAGCTATACGTTGAGCGTGGGCAAGAAACCCTATCACGCTAAAAGCTACCAAGCAGACAGAGGAAGATGCCTAGGCATGCATCTCCAGGACTCGCTCAAGACGGGAGAAACCTAAGCATGCAAGTTCCACGAAGTGCCCCCAATAAAGAATCCTATCACAACTTGCCTCATACCAAGCAATCGGAGGAGGCCCATGAAATGCCAACCCTCATGCCTGTCTACATGCGTATAACAGGAATCAAATACGAGAAAGGCCCATCATTTCCCTTACAAACTAGGGCACACCCATCCCTTACTCTTTCTTACCAACCAATCCTGGGCAAATGCCTACAAAGCAAGTTTGTTCACCAGTGTTACCGGGGAATCTCGCACGCGAAGGCACGTGGAAGGAGGGGGTGGTAGTTTGCCAACCCTCCTTTGAAAAGGGGGAAGGGTAAACCAAATCTTTCTAAAATAGTTTTTGCGGCCCCTCAACAACAACCGACGAACCCCTGAAAGAAAACCCACTATCAATAGAAGGGTTCGCCAGAAGAAGCCAAGGGACCGTGCGCGCACTAAATGCCCTCCAAACGACCCACCAATGAACCTTTGAACACACACACACAACCCGCCAAGCGTCACGTTCAATTTTAAGGGTTTGCCAGAAAAGTCGCTGGAGGGCCGCCGCCAGCCACCGCCGACGGTTGCCACCGGCCGCTTGCTGGTCGCGTGGGTCTGGGGTCCCATCAATACATGGGGAACCCACACTGCCAGGTTGGGCCCCACCTGGCTAGGGAGGAGGGGTTGGAGCTCCCCCCCTAAAGAGCAATATGGGCTTTTTCCACTCTAGCACGAACATACATACTTTTTGCTCAAACGATAATACCCCTTTTGAGGGACCTAGAGACCTCCGATTCATGTGATTTTTTGCAGCCTTCTTAGAAATAATATGAGGATAAAATATGCCAAGTTTCATAATTTTTGGACACCCACAGAATTTTTTAGGATTTTTTGATTGCTCCAAAGAGTGCGGCCTCCACGGGCTGCCACGGGCAGTGGCTCCGACAGCTAGACCCCCAAACATGTCAAGGGGGATGAGTTTGACTTAATAAAACTAAGAAATCATAAATGTAATGAGTAGATTTTATTTTAGTATGGGTAAGACTCTTTTTGCACTATCAAGACTTGCCCATGGCAGGTCTGGACGTGCCAGGACTTACCCGAACGTGCTAGGACTTGCCCGTGGCAGGTCTGGATGTACCAGGACATGCCTGGAATTGCCTTGGATGTGCCAGGACTTACCCGTGGCAGGGCTTGACGTACCAGGACGTGCCTGGACTTGCCCGTGGCAGGTCCGGACGTGCCAGCACTTGCCTTGGACGTGCCAGGGGCCTGTCATGACGTGCTGGACCTTACACCTCCTTACCCGGACCATGCCAACATTTGCCACACGCTTTCTCGAGGTTTTTCCCTAGCTTTTCCCGTACCTTGCCAACTGTTGTGATGACCTTGCTAACACAAGCCACGGGCTTTGCCCAGACCTTGCCAACGCTTGCTCGAGGTTTGGCCTGAGCTCTCCCGGAGCTTCCAACCCTTGCCCATACCTTGCCAACACTGGCCACAGGCTTTACCCGAACCTTGCCAAACGCTTGCTTAGGCTTATTCCCGAGCTTTCTCGGACTTTCCACCCTAAGCCTGTACCATCCCAACACTGGCCACGGGCTTTGCCCGAAACTTGCCAACGCTTGCTCAGGGTTGAGCTTGAGCTTTCCCGGACCTTACAACTCTTGCCCCGACCTTGCCACACGCTCGCCCGAACATGTTTGGACTTACCCGGACCATGCCAACACTGGCCGCGGGCTTTTCCCGGAGCTTGCCAACAGTTGCGATGACCTTCTTAACACAGGCCATGGGCTTTGCTAGGACCTTGCCAACGCTTGCCTAGGGCTGAGCCCAAGCTTCCCCGAACCTTCTAACTCTTTCCCACACCTTGCCACAAGCTTGCCCGGACCATGCCAACATTGGCCGCGGGCTTTGCTCGGGGCTTGCAAACAGTTGTGACGACCTTCCCAATATAGGCCACGGGCTTTGCCCGGACCTTGCCAACGCTTGCCTGGGGCTGAGCTAGAGCTTCCTCGAACCTTCCAACTCTTTCCCAGACCTTACCACACGCTCACTCGGACCATGCCAACACTGGCCGCGAGCTTTGCCCGAGGCTTGCCAACAGTTACAATGACCTTCCCAATATATGCCACGGGCTTTGCCTGGACCTTGCCAATGGTTGCCCGAGGCTTTGTCCAAGATCCCTGGACCTTCCACCCCATGCCCGTACCTCGCCAACATTGGCCGCAGGCTTTGCTTGGACCTTGCCAACGCTTGCTTGGGGTTGAGCTTGAGCTTTCCCAGACCTTACAACTCTTTCCCGGACCTTGCCAACGCTTGCCCGGGGCTGAGCCTGAGCTTTTTCAGACCTTCCAACTCTCGCCTGGACAATGCCACATACTTGCCCGAACTATGCCAACATTTTCCACACGCTTGCCTAGGGTTTTGCCCAAGCTTGCCTAGACCTCCATTATATATTTAAACACGCATCTCACAACGCGTTAAAGCGCTTAGGCGCTGAGTGCTAAGCGCGTGCGTGTGGTTCTTGAGGGTCTATAAAAAAGTAGGGTGGGACTCCCCCGGGACTGGGTGTCCCCCCCTAAGTTATGGGCTTTTTCCACTCTGGCACGAATAGACACAGTTTTTGCTTAAGTGACAATGCCCCTTTTATAGGACCTGGAGACCTTCAATTTAGGCAATTTTTTGCAAGCTTCTTAGGTATGATATGAAGATGAACTTTACCAAGTTTCATAATTTTTGGACACCTACAAAATTTTTTAGGATTTTTTGATTGCTCTAAAGAGTACGGCCTCCACGGGCCGCCACGGGCAGCAGCTTCGGCAGCCAGACCACCAAACATGTCAAGGGGGATGAGTTTGAGTTAATAAAATCGAGAAATCACAAATGTAATGAGTAAATTTCATTTTGGTATGGGTAGGACTCTTTTTGCACTGTCAGGACTTGCCCGTGGCAAGTCTGAACGTGCCAGGACTTGCCCTGGATGTGCCCGTGGCAAGTTTGGACGTGCCAAGACTTGCTATGGACATGCTCGAACTTGCTCATGGTAGGTCTGAATGTACCAGGATGTGCCAGGACTTGCCTTGGACGTGCCCGTGGCAGGTTTGGACGTGCCAGGACTTGCCTGGACGTGCTTGTGGCAGGTCCAGATGTGCCAGGACGTGCTAGGACTTGCCCTGGACATGCTAGGACATGCCCGTGGCAGGTCTGGATGTCTCGGAATATGCCTGAACATGCCCCGGGCAGGTCCAGACGTGCCAGGACTTGCTCGGACATGCCCCAGGCTGGCCGAGATGTACCAGGACGTGCCAGGACCTGCCTGGGGCCTATTGAGACATGCCGAACCTTGCACCTCCTTTCCAAGACTTGCCCCAAGCCTGTCCTAACTTTGCCTGTGGTAGGTCCAGACCTTAGAAAACACCTGCCATGTCCTTTGCCCGAGGTTGCCAACCCTTTCCCCGACCGTACCGGAGCTTTGCCGGTAGTTGAGACAATGCTGCATCACTTGCCACGGGCATTGCCCGAGGTTTGTCAACCCTTTTCTCCGACCGTGCAGAGCTCTCACCAACACTTGCCCAGGGCTTTTGACCGAGGTTGCCAACACCTGTGCTGTCCCCACCGGAGCTTTTGCCAAGGCTTGCCACAACGCTCCGTCACATGCCACGGGCTTCGCCCGAGATTGCCCACAACTTTGGCAATCTTTCCCAAGGCTTAGCCCGATGCACGCTGCGGGCATGCCCTAACCTTCGGCCTATTTCTGGACGCAGAAGGTGGGGGG